GTCCTGACGTATATAGTGGCTGAGAACAGAGGTTGGGGAGATGCAACACGACATGACTTTCTGCCAAGTATTTACATTTCGCAATTACCCATTCGATCGGGCGTGAAAGGTGAATATGCAGATAATTGGTTGTCGCGAGGGAACGTACACAGGTCGTGAACGGCACAGGCACAGTGTCCCGGTCAGTTAGTTTACCAGTTCATTGATATAAATCAGCGCGACCGAGACTCGCGGCAGCTCATAACTCTCGCTACTTGTCGGACTTTATAGAGCACCTCATGATCAAACATGAACAATGTTATACGTTCATAACCAGAAAGGCAGATATTTTTGCTTCTGCCCTCACTCTTTCAGATACCTCAGGTTTAAATCAACATCGTTGTGGACAGGATATAAAGAGGGCAGCGAGTGAAGGATATATCGGAAAATTCTGCATCTAGCTGTACTTTGTTAGTCAATGATGCATGTAAATTAAATACCGAGTCCCCTAAAACGAGGTCGGTATAAATGTTAATTCAAAAATGAAAGAAGTTCAAAGATTAAGTACAACTATGAGTTCGCCGGGGGCGCTATTTCGCACTTATAATTTTCTCCTTAACTAAATTATGCCCTGCAATATAACACAGTAGTAAACACGAAATTTTACATTTTTTTCACGTTTTTTTTTGTTTTAAATCATATTGAACCACAATATCGATTAATAAACCGGTATATATAATGACCAATCCAAACCGATATAATTGCTAGCTGCGAACAAGCAATTATTGGTCAGACATTCTCGTTGGGTTGTCGCTGCTGGCGCGCTACATCATTTCTGAAGATCGTGTTTGAATTACTAATAAAAAAAATACGCGCACAATTGCCTAGGTTTTTTGCCCCATTTAGCAATAGATTTACGATAATTTCAACAAATACCATTGAAATCCCTGGGAACGTAATTGGAGCAAAATCAGACGGCGAAAAATATGTTATCAATTTATGAAGGAAATTGTTAACAAACAGGAAACACCCAAAGTATAATGAGATAGTGTAGGTTGCGTGCTGGCCAGTGACAAGCGATCATGATGCATTGCATGTCTGTATCGTCTGAAAACTATGGTGAAAAAATATTTAGGGAATAAATAAAGAACAACATATTGCGGAATAACAGTACGAGTACGGTAATATGAGTTCCCTGTATATGTCGTAGATTTGCATACAGCCTCTAGAATTTGGGCGTGTATCAATGGCGGAAGCCGGCTTTTGCGCTAAAACAGCTTTCGCCATTTACAAACCCCTATGATATTTTATTTAGTTGAGAAAAATACCAACAAAATCAACAAGAGACTGCATGCACGTATCGGGATGCCACCCTGACATTGGTAAAATGTACTCTAACATTGGTACTAGGCAAGATAATATCCGACACTATTCGTCGAGAGTTTAAGAGATTTCAAATAGCAGGGACCTTGGAAACAACATCTGACTAGTATCGATATATTAGTACAATTCGCTAGTAACAAATAACCTTGCGAAAAATGTTATAGATGGTCGGTGAGGCGAATTAACGCGGACGCATATATACTCCAACATGGACGTGAAACCTGACTGGGTGTGAAACCCTCAACCCCGGTTTCGGTATGCTTTCACTCGCTACAGCGCATAAATGCCTGGAACTTTCAAGCCGAGAGTAGGTGCTATCAATGTTACACGAAGCATCAATACGACAACTATCCGCAAAGATGATAATACTGTCAATTGAAAAGCTACACAGAAGACACATAACAACGTTCGGCCATTTTTTCGACATAATGTGAAAGGGCTATTTGCATGTATGTGCAGAAGAGCGCCACCATATTTGCTATGTTTAAATTTACTTTCTCAAACTTTACACCTAAAACCCGTATTTTTAATTTAAATTTAATGCTCATATTTTAAATTTAGTTGCTCATAATTGTAACTTAAATGCACATTTTAAATATCCGATTTTCATATTTTTAATTTAAATTGTCATATTTTAATGCGCCGTAGTTTTAATTAATTAAGCTACAATAAGCAAAAACACGTTCTAGATGAAAACTACATGAATTTCTGAAAGTGAAAAAATAATGATTTGTTATTTAAATGGCCAATCAAAATGTGGGGTATTGGCCACAAGCGCTGCCCGACTATCGTATGACAACTTGGCTGCATGCTACATTTCTCTCAGTCTTAAACCATCCCGAGATTTTCCTACATGCGACATTTTCCAAATTCCGTCAGATTATGCGGGTTTGTTTTTCGAATATCACACTTTCCATAGCTTAGTATTAAATTTATGTATTTTATATCAAAACATGTCATGAAGTAAAGGTTCAGCAAGCGAGTTAAATATCAACGGAAATGTTTCCAAACACAGACAAATCTGCTGCTTGGAAAGGTGATTATAGCGTTATCAGATGAATCGAAATTACGGTTTCCAAAAAAGAAAAAAAAAAAAAAAACATTATTATAACCTTAAAAATAAGTCCAACATTTGATGCATTTATATAGTAAAAATTTACGTCATAAGGACTTTGCAAATAAGAGCATAATTATTTTAAAATAATAACGTTTTTAATAACGTTATCATGATGTTATTTTATAACAGAAAAATACAGTCATTTATTTATTTATTGCATAAATTATCATCATGCCATAATTACGTTTTTCATTGATGCATAACACATGTTGTTGTATGAAGTTATTAAAAATAGTAAACCAATATTTAGTAAATAACCTACTTTACTTTATTTTACAATACAATATACATCCAAAAAATGCCTTGTGATATAATTAGTACAGAGTACGAGAACCATATATGTCCGCACTTGGGTACCATGACGGGGGCCATGACAGGGGCCATGACGAGAATACTGTCGAACTGGTGCTTTCCGTTTGATGTTCAGCGTGGAAAAAAAAGGGAATGCGATCAGCAACGTGATTCTGTCGAAATGATCCGAATAGGGTGCAGTAAAAAAGCAGAATAAATGATTTTTGAGTTTTTTCAGCATTTTTGAGTAGCACGAGAATTGTTCAAACGTTCAGCGTTCGGGAGCGATAAGTAAACATCTGTGGTCGAGACCGACTATGCGCCCATGCTAGGAGAATAGTCCGGATCAACTGATAAGAACGCGCTGTTTCAATAATCAGCGACTCACGCAATTTTTAAATTCATGATATGATGCACTTACTCTAGTTCATGATGCACTTACCTACTTAAAATTCACGATTATATTCACTGCAGCGAGTGGATGTTTTTTGTATGCGGCGTATGGTTGTCGTTTCTTATTACCACACCCTCTCTCATTCCACGCGTATAATTCTAACCCGGAGGTGACACAATACACTCTAATTAATTGGTATCTCCTGCTGAGACGTGTTCATTTCATCAATAACATAGACTTACGAGTTATGAATTTATGTCACGTTTCATCGTGACCTATGTATCATTGCTATGAGGGCCCGGACTACAAAGGCTTATGTAATCATCTAGGCGCTTAGCTTGGCGTGGCATTGCAATGGTAGACGACCATGATATGTTTTAATGTTAATGTAGTCTTGAGTGTTTAAATGGGAACATACATTACAGTGTGTATTTTATTCCTTCAAATTATATTGAACCATACCAGATCTGAATCTGAACATGAAATATCTATATATACTTTATATCGTATTCAATCCACACTGTAATTTATGAATCGTATCCAAACCATACTGTGCGTAATTGATACATCGTATCCAATCCACTCTGTAATTGATACATCGTATCCAATCCACCCTGTAATTGACACATCGTATCCGATCCACCCTGTAATTGATACATCGTATCCAATCCACCCTGTAATTGATACATCGTATCAATCCACCCTGTAATTGATACATCGTATCCAGTCCACAGTGTAATTGATACATCATATCCAATCCACCCTGTAATTGATACATCGTATCCAATCCACCCTGTAATTGATAATCCTATCCAGTCCACGGTGTAATTGATACATCGTATCCAATCCACACTGTAATTGATACATCGTATCCAATCCACACTGTAATTGATACATCGTATCCAATCCACACTGCAATTGATACATCGTATCCAACCCATACTGTAATTGATACATTGTATCCAACCCACACTGTAATTGATACGTCATATTCAATCCACACTGTAATTGATACATCGTATTCAATCCACCCTGTAATTGATACATCGTATCCAATCCACATTGTAATTGATACATCGTATCCAGTCCACAGTGTAATTGATACATCGTATCCAATCCACATTGTAATTGATACATTGTATCCAGTCCACAGTGTAATTGATACATCGTATCCAATCCACATTGTAATTGATACATCGTATCCAGTCCACAGTGTAATTGATACATCGTATCCAATCCACATTGTAATTGATACATCATATCCAATTCACCCTGTAATTGATACATCGTATCCAATCCACACTGTAATTGATACATCGTATTCAATCCACCCTGTAATTGATACATCGTATCCAGTCCACAGTGTAATTGATACATCGTATCCAATCCACATTGTAATTGATACATCGTATTCAATCCACCCTGTAATTGATACATCGCATCCAGTCCACAGTGTAATTGATATATGTATCCAACCCACACTGTAATTGATACATCGTATCCAGTCCACAGTGTAATTGATTCATCGTATCCAACCCACCCTGTAAATTATACATCGTATTCAATCCACATTGTAATTGATACATCGTATCCAATCCACCCTATAATTGATACATCGTATCCCGTCCACGGTGTACATGATACATCGTATCCAATCCACAGTGTAATTGATACATCGTATCCAATCCACCCTGTAATTGATACATCGTATTCAATCCACGCTGTAATTGATACATCGTATTCAAACCACCCTGTAATTGATACATCGTATCCAGTCCGCAGTGTAATTGAAACATCGTATCCAGTTCACCCTGTAATTGATACATCGTACCCAATCCACACTGTAATTGATACATCGTATTCAATCCACCCTGTAATTGATACATCGTATCCAGTCCACAGTGTAATTGATATATCGTATCCAATCCACTCTGTAATTGATACATCCTATCCAGTCCACCGTGTAATTGATTCATCGTATCCAGCCCACCCTGTCAATTATACATCGTATTCAATCCACATTGTAATTGATACATCGTATCCAATCCACCCTATAATTGATACATCGTATCCCGTCCACGGTGTAATTGATACATCGTATCCAATCCACACTATAATTGATACATCGTATTCAATCCACACTGTACATGATACATCGTATCCAATCCACAGTGTAATTGATACTTATGATGCAAACCAGACTGTAATTGACAGATAGTATTCAATTAAATTTGCTACATTATCATTGTCCGAAGATACTGTAAAATTTACAATTGTAATTGAAATTGAAAGCCAAATTATTTGACAATAAAGATAGCTCAGCCAGTCACAAATTCGTATGATGAAAACACACTGGACACTCTTTTGCAACTAAATAATTATTCTTTTTCAACGATGCTTTGTGGATAGAAATGCACCGTGTGTAGCCCCCGAACTCAAAATATTTATTAGAAATCGTGACAACTGCATACACATATATACTGCCAGTTCTTGGTAATAACTTCTTGATAATAAAATACCTAACTGGTTATATGTCGACACGTGTTTTAGAACGATACTTTTCTACGTTAGTGTTACGTTAGTGTTGTGACGTTTGCCGTTTGCCGATAGTTCGCGGTATCTTGCTGTTTACTGTAATATGTCCAATTGCATTGTGATTTCCTATGATAGACGTTGCTGGCGTTTTTGCTAATTCATTCACTGATCGATGTCAAAGGTACCTCATATACCTCGTTCGATAACAGTCAAATGCGCATGGGAATCGCAACACTTTCATGTTATCTGCGTACACGTGCACAGTAATATATTCGTGACTCTCAGCTCGTCACCATGGAGAATTCTCTTTGGTTAATAACAAGATATATCTTAATTGAATTAATCTAATTGTGAATTGTGAGAGTGCAACATATCTTAATTTTGTGATTCATGTTTCGACTTATCGCCTATAGATTATATGAGTTAAAATCTTACAGAGTAAGTAGTTATTACACTTATCAACAATTTCACTCAATGTGGAATTCAAACCCTAATTTTTTGGGTTGTTACGAATTTCGACTTTTTTTTCATCTCTGCGCATCTACTTCTGCACATATTGACCTCTGACACACTGGGAACGATTTCAAATTATCCCGATTTATGCCATAAAATCATAAAAAATCTATTCGCATCGTACTAAATATTTTGATTACACAAAATAGAATACAAAACAGCGAATAGCAATACCTTATAACCTCAGTGTGAACATTCAAAATCGAGCTTTCCCTGATAGCTCACCAACGTTTTTATAATATTCTTGCAATACTCGTCGCTAGGTGGCGCTAAACACTCAAATACAAATTGTGGATAAAAAGTGTTCAGCATAAAAACACTTCATGAAAAAGATGGACTCAAGGTAAAATAAAAACGATTCATATACTAAGTTACTTTCATGTGCAATGTACAAATAGAGAATATTTTGCAATGAGGATAGCGAACATTCGTTTGACACCCAGCCCTGCTAATATAACAGATACATCAAGTCATATTCATCATAAATACACTTCTATGAAACATTTTTTTCAAAAGTATTTGTATCTTGAAAGTGTCCAAAGATGATCTGATTTATGTGGAATGTGTAGGTCGGACTGAACCATATTTATCCACGATGTGAAACATAATTTCAAGTATCCGATCATGGTGTAATAACCAGGGCCCGATCATGTCATTAGAAAGAACCTAATAGTGTTGTTGAGAGACAAGACGTTTTGTTTAATGCAGAGTACTCATTTATAAGTTGCCACTCCTACAACAAATGGTTTTAATACAAGATCGTTGTAAAAATTCTCTTTTTACAATAATTATAAAGTCAAAAAAACGCAACTGAGTGGAGTCTTTGTTAATAAGTAGGTACTAGTAATCAGCTGACTGATCCGCATATGTTTTGTGTCACTTAAGGGTTGGAACAAATTTAAATTAGTCACTGTGATATATAAAAGCTTTAAGGGAAGTATTTTTTCCCAAAAAAAATTGTCGTTGGAGAACTTGGTTTTTAGTTCCTGAAGAAAATGTGGTGACCCACCTAATACATAAATTGTGTTGCTCATGGAGACATTTCAATTCACAGTATATATCGTTTATATGTTTATTCAATGCAACGCAAATGCATATATGTGATGTCACGTGACCCTCTAAAGAATTGTGTAATATTTGGCGGGCATCTTGCCGCAGGTTGTTGTGGGTAGTCTCACGTAATAACGTATGAGATATATTCCGCCATTTTTGTTTTGCGTTGGGTCTATACTACTTATTGTAAAAACGCTTTTAGTAAAAGTGTTTACAAATTAAATTTAGATGGATGAAAACACTCGTAAATATAAATTTGCGTAAAATATATCAATATTTCAGTTTGTCAATCAACAATTATATAATGTTTTTTTTTGAAAATGAGGTGTATTTTATATCATTTATAAATATCGTGCATTATATTGTGTAGATTTCATAGCATGTGTTGTATGAAAAATAATCGATTATATAAAAAGAAGGTGTGCATGTTTCATCGAACTTGTTTTGTAAAAACATGTACTAGCTTCAATATATACAAAGTCATTTGCCTGACGCGAGTTTCTTGACTAGGATGGCGCAATTCACGTTAAGTTACATTCATTTCGTAACAAAACAATTTATTCCCATTATATTTGTACCACACGTTCACTTCACACCACATAGTCGCATTGTCTCACGTCACTTCGTATATACCATGCGGTCACTTTGCACGAACACGATCCATTAGTACGGGCGTAACTGGGCAACTGAATACTGATGACGACAACGATTAGTGGCAATGGCATGAATTACCCATTCGCTATCTAGAAGTATATTTTAATAATATATGCACTTGTCCGTATTTCATAACCGAAAATAATTCACAGTTATTTTTCGCAAGACCTGTTTTATCATGCTCCACAAGACCTGTTTTTTCACGCTTTTTATGGAAACCGTGGACGATAATGGTGTTGGTATGGAGTGACGCACGTGACGTTAACACCTCAAAAACATACATTGTGTGCATACACTGTGCATAAAATTACTTCTTGTATTATTCAAGTGTTATTGCGTTAACTTTTATACAAGAACGAATTCCTATATTTCATCTTACTTTATTGAACTATTTGTTTTATAGTCGAGTTTTATCTAAAACCATTATTTCCAGCTTTTACTACATGTCACGTATCAAAACCGAGGTCAAGACGAAGCTAACATTCAATTAAATTCTTATCGACTCTTGGTATAATTAAAAGACATGTTCCTTATATTTGGACTGAGCAAGAAATGAATGAAGAAAGCGGGCCTACCTAAAAAAATTAAACGGTTCGTAGCAAATCATCTAAAAATTACCAAAATCAGGGCGTGTAGGTTCAGTATTCGACACTCTTGCGAACAATAACCCTACTTGTCCAACCATAACACTTCGAGACAGTGTTATAAATTCCCGCAAATAATGTGGTAGACACAAGGGCTACCAATTCTTAAAAGTTAGTGGCCCCGATAAAAAGTAGGTGGTCCAGTGCTGTTAAAATCAGCACAAGCAACGTACAATACAGTATATACATTTAAATGAATGCAAGACTGTGAATAACAATGTGCTTCCTTGACGATAATACATGTGACGCAAAAACATATATAGAATACCATCGAACTACACGGGTGGTTTGTAATTTACACTAATCAATGTTATGTTAGATACAACTTCATGAGAAACATAAAAGTCACAACGATTTTAACTTTTTTTTTTATTTTTTCACTTTCACCAGAAATTTGTGTTTGTCTTTTACATTCAGATAAGAAAATCTCTAGAAAGTGAATTTAACAAAGACCACTATGACTGTTATGTTCAAATAAATTACATAACATCTCTGGAAAAAGTGAAAAGATCTGATGAGTGCCTTCTTATTAATTAGTACTCGTTTGATTGATCAGACTGATGTCAGAATTAAATCAATGAAATATACAAATTTGCATATAATAATGTAGTTGCTGTTGTTATTGTTTTAAATGGTCGAGAAATCGTGACGCCCAGGAAATTATAGATGATATAAAAACATCTAAAGATGTTCTAAAACTATTTCATATCTGACTGTGTGATTTGTTAGTTATATAAAATATATTTTAAACATGTTTTTACAAAGAATAATTAGATATACTTATAAATATTATTATATAAAAATATAAAAAAGTTCATTTTGAGCAACTTATTCAAAAAAAAATATTCCTCAATCATTCTCAGATTCGGAATGAGTATAAGATGCGTTGGTTATGACCTGCTGACTTATTTTCTGTGTAGGGGTTTCACATTTTGTTGCATCATTATTTTTATGAAAATTTGTGAACTTCACCTTTCTCGCACTTTTTGGGCCGTCTTCTTTTGGAGTGGGTGTTGCCAGTAACAAACTTGCCTTGCACATACTTCTAGTATTTATTCTTACACTTTCGATTGACAGAAAGAGCAACATACATAACGTGAATTGCCCTAATCTATAAAAGTCCCTAGGCCAGCTTATTTTATTTTAGTCATAATCTTTGCTAGCGGGCGATATTTGAATCCACTGTTGGCTGTATTCCGAAAATAAAACATAGTTGAACTCTGGTGACCTTGCCCTTTGTTATATAATATAATTCCCTTTATCATAGTTTGTTTCAATATAAATATGCATTGTCATAATTAATTTTGAATACAAACAAGTTTTGGGGTTGAACCAACAGTGGGGAATCAGTCTACCGAATGTCCTTAAAAGATGTAAATATCTTACAAAAACATTGGTGCCTTATTTGTTTAATTATTTTAAGGAACATAATTTCCAGCTTTATTGAAAGTAATTGAGATATTTTAGAATAAAAACAAATGTCTCATTGCAAAAAAAAGTGCTGCATTTAGATGTGAATAGATTCATAAAACATGCAAGATAACAGAAAAATTTAGCTGGCTTTAGTTCAAGTATTTTGTACAGGTGTCTGTCAAAAATGAATGATTCACTGAGACAAATATGAACTGCCTCATTGTGTGACTACTGTATTATATGAAAAGTAAAAAACACCCTTTATGAATAGCTATCATGTTGCAAGCTCTGCTTTGTATGCAAATCAACTTAAATAGTTGGTTCCAGTGGAGGGAGAAGTCAACAGTACTGTTGCCTCCTGAGAATCTACATCTTCAAACACTGCAATCTCTGAAGTGCGTTTTTAAACTAGTATCATAAAAACTCTATCATTCTGTTCTAAT